GGTAAAGTCTCTCCATTTTCCCTGTTCATTTCCTTGGTGACCTCTTAGAAAGCAGGAGGTTTTAAGTGAACTGTTTATCCGGTTGCTCTGTGCCCCCCGGAGAGACCGCTGCAAGCTCTGCTGTGGGCCCAGAAACCTCTTCCAGCCCTGCTGAGCTTGTAAAGACTGGCTGCCGTGTTCTGGACCTGTCCCAGCGGTCCTGCAGCAGGACTTCTGCTGCTTTCTGTGGCTCAAACACAAATGTGATTTTCAGACTTGTTTAAACAGGCCAGATTTGATCATGTGATTGCTCCGTTACTGTTTCATCTTCGTAAATTTAAACCTGAAGAGCCAATTCATGCATATACGCAATATTTATACGGATATATGTGAAGCTGCAAGCTATATTCTATAAATTATGAATTACTGGGATATAAATAGTGAAACCTTTAACTTCCTTGTCAGCGTTACTTAAATCACAGTTTGTAACTCCTTGGTACTGACACTGATTATTTCCATAAAACCCTTTGTTAACGATATTTAGAAATCCATCCATTTATCCATCTATCAGATGTTGTGTCACTGGTTAACTGAATTTTACATACACTGTTATATTTTACACTTTGTGATAGATTTCAATCATTTGCTTTAAACTGAGAATCTATAAGTCTCTATCTTAATACGTGCCTCACTCCAGCAGTATAAACACATAAAGTTTTACAATTTAGAGGTTTACTTCCTTGTTTACCATGACATCATACCTGGGGTGAGACCTGACTTTGGTATGGAACTGTGGATCTTGTGTTGTTCAAGGAGTTTTTTGGTAAAAGGACAAGATATAAGTTGTCTGTAAATAAATATTCAGTCCTGACAATTGAATCAGTCTCCTGTGCATAATTTGGTCTCTCATTTTAACATGATCTGTCACATCCGTTGTCTTCACCCACCAATCCTTCCAGGTCATGGAGAGCTTGTTGTGCCCATCTGCAGAATAAATGCTGAGCTTTGTCCCGCCCATCGGACGCTCAGCGTCTCTGGAGGTCTATGGGGCAGTGGGCTGGCCTCGGCTGGCCCAGACGCTCAGCTCCTGCATGCTGATTGGATGATCTGTCTGAGGCTGAATCCCTTTTTGATTG